TGGTACTGGTCGCAGTATTTTTCGACACTGCCTGAAAGGAAGGAAGTTGATTTAAGAGAATATTCCACCTTGGGACTCTCCTGGGAGCTTTGCAGGAAACCGTCCTTGGAGGGTGCGACAGTTCTGAGAGATCCTGACAGCACTAATGGGAGCTTTAGGGCCAGAATGGAAGGAGAGTTTCAGAAACAGCAGAGGTAAAGAGTAGACACTACCGTTTTAGCTTAAGTATTGGACATAAACAGACACTTCTGGTATCCAGTTATGTGAGAGCTATGGCGCATCATTAGGGGGTGTAGCTCAGTGGTAGAGCGCGTGCTTAGCATGTACGAGGCCCTGGGTTCGATCCCCAGCACCTCCACTTACTCTCCTGTGTCTTTAAGCTTCCTGATTGGGGAGGAATCAGATCCTTGGAACAGAAGCTTAAAAATCAAAAAGTTTTCAGACAACTTCTTTTAAATCTATTACCCCCTTCCCCCGCCACCCCTGCTAGCTATTCCCATGTCCCTAGGCAGACTGGAGGACAAAGACTTCGCTTTCTTTTTCCTAGTCTTCCCTGTTTGTCTACATTCACATCCTTTCTTTTACACCTGACACACACACACACACACACACACACACACACACACACAAAGGTCATTTTGCTCACTGGTCCTGGAGGGCTGTGATATCAATTCTTTCTAGGCTAGGAAGTGGGTGAACTCAACATAGGAATGACTTCTTAAGGCATCCAAACAGGACAGCTGAGAAAATTCTTTATATGTTTTCCTGTGTGGTAAAAATGCTCACTTGTTGTTAGAACAGAGTGGTGACTTTTGAATTCCATACAACTTTCAAAGCTTGACATCCAAACTGGTTTTAGTGTTTTCTTTTTGTTTTTCCGGTACTGGGGTTTGAACTCAAGGCCTACATCTTGAGCCACTCCACTATCTCTTTTTGTGATTTTTTTTTTTTTTTTGAGATAGGGTCTCATGAACTATTTGTCCATGCTGGCTTGGAACTGCCATCCTCCTGATCTCTACCTCCTGAGTAGCTAGGATTACAGACATAAACCACTGGGTACCTGGCAGTAGTATTTTTTTTTTCAATAGTAGTATTTTTTGCCATTTTTTTATGGTGGCAAAATACTAGATGTAAAATTTACTACCTTCTCCATTTTTAAGCACACAGCAGTGGAGAAATTGGAAATTAAGTACATTCAAATTGTTGAGCAATCATTACCACCACCCATCTCCAAAATTCTTCATCTTGCAAAATGAAAGAGAATACCTATTAAACAATAATTCCTCTTCCCCAGCTGCTGGCCACCACCATTCTATTTTCTGCCTCTGTAACTTGACTGCTCTAAGCACCTCATACAAGTGGAATCCTACAGTCTTTGACTTTTTGTGACTGACTTATTTCACTTAGCATTCTGTCCTCAAGCTTTATCTATGTTGTAGCATATTGCAAAATTGCTTTTCTTTTCTTAAGGATGAATAATATCCCATTGCATGTATATAACCCACCTGCTGATGCATTCATCACTGATGGATGCTTGGATTATTTCTACATTTTAGCTACTGTAAATGATGCTGCTATGAACATGCATGTGCAGATATGTCAAGACCCTTCTTTTGAGAATGCACTCTGAAGTGAAGTTGCTGAATCATATGGCAGTTTTATTTACTTTCTGAGTGCATCCCGTAATTTTTTTTGCAGTGGTTGTGCCATTTTACATTCTAACCAACAGTGCACAAGGATTCCAATGTCTCCACATTCTCACCAACACTGATTATTTGCTGATTAAAAAATAGTATTCATCCTAACGGTTGTGAGGTGTGTCTCACTGCAGTTGTAATCTACATTTTCGTTTCTAATCAGTGATGCTGGTATCTTTTTGTGCACTTACTGGTCATTTGCAGACCATCTTTGGAGAAATGTTTATTCAGGTCTTTTGCCTGCTTTGAGTTGAATTTTTTTCTTTTTGGTTGTTAATGGTTTTAGTGTTCTTTATACACTCTGGCCTTATCAAATGTTTGATTTGTGAATATTTTCTCCAATTCCATGGATTGCCTCTTTACTTTGTTTACAGTGTCTTTTGATCTACAAATTTAAATTTTTTCCATGAGGTTCAGTGTCTTTTTTTCTTTGGGTTTCCTATGTCTTTGTTGTCATTTCTAAGAAATCACTGCCAAATTAAATGTCCTGTGTTTTCTTCTAGAGTTTTACAGTTGCAGCTCACTTTTCTCTTTTCTTTCTTTCTTTTTGACATGACATTAAGTATGTCATCTTCATTCTTCTGCATGTGGATATCCAGTTTCCCAGGACCATTTGTTGAAAAGATGATCTTTTCTTCATCAAATGGTCTTGTCACCCTTGTTGAAATTGTTTGTTCACATATGTGAAGGTTTGTTTCTGAGCTCTGTTCTGTTTCATTGGTCTGTATGTCTATCTTTATGCCATCACCGTAGTTTTCGTAAGTAATCTCACCTTGATAACTTTTGTATTCCCAGCTGGGCCTGTGTGACGGTAGAGGAGCAGAAAACACTCCCATTGATTTCCCCTGACCTCACATCCCTTCTGTACACACAGGCCAAAGTATTTGGGATCAATCACCAAATGCGTCAGGATACTTATTCCAACTTCTCAGTGAGGGGGAAGAGAAAGCCATCTCTCAAAAAAGCACAGTGCTTTGCAAACTTGTTTTAGTGAATGTAGAGATGTGGCTCATACCACTCTGTTAGGAAAGCTCCAGATTAAAACTCCCCCAAATTTGAAAAGATAATTTACACAATGAACTCTCATTCCTGCAGCATGCAACCTATTCACCGACATTTTCTTGCACTCACTTTCTCAAGTGAGTGCACTTTCTCAAAACTTCCAGAGGGCTAACACAAGAAGAACAGGAATGTGGCCACACAAAATTCCTTGACTTGCCCAGTTAACATTTTTGTTCAGTATTTTAAGTCTGTAAGTGAAAACCTGCCTTAAGTACTTTTTCTCAGTATTACCAAAGGGTCTTAGAAGGCCCAGGAAGAATAGGCCTATGGCTTTGGTGTCCATTGGTATATCATTGGTCCTGCATACTAAACTGAAAGCATACAGAAAGCAAGAGGCCATTACCTCTGCTGGTGCCCAGACAATCCATCCTATTTGCTTTGCAGCATCTGGGACCGCTTCCATTTTCTGATTCACCAGTAGCACCATTCCAAGGTTTCCAGAACTCTGTCTTTATTCTTTATTCATATTTATGGCAGGCCTTATCCTTATGTCAGTATGTTCTCAGAAGGAAGGCATTTTGAAAGCTTTACTCTGTCCTCCAACTTTCTCAATCACCCAGTGCCTGCCCTAACCCTGTTCATTCCCCTCGCCTTAAAAAAAAGAAAAAGAAAAAAACACTTCATTTAAAGTTGAAGGAGTTTTGGTTTTTTTTTAACTTTTATTTCTGCAAAGCCAATCAAGAAGTGTTGGAAGGAAAAAGTGAAAAAAGTTATCCTTGCATATTTGGGAATTTGAGCAAGCACTTAGTTTGAGAAAATGAGGACTTAAAACAGTTGAATCAAAGGCAGTACCCTGCAACTTGTATTTTAAACCAAAGGTGATGTTCTTTCTTAAGCGACATTCCTTTTACCCCTAATAGCTACAATATGATACAGTATGCAACAACTCACTTAAAAGTGCTAGAATCAGAGGGTGAAGAATGCCATAAGCCATCCCACTTAACATTTTCTACTATACAATGCCTTTTGGCCACTTGACAAATCAAGCATTCAGGTAGCATTACATTCAACAGAAACACCTTATACTTTGGGTTTTAAGATCCTTGTCCCTGAAGTTCCGATGTTGTGACATCTGACTCTTCATCATTGTAAATATTTTCAGCCATTTGCCATATATGCATGATGTTATCTTCAGACACTGAGCAAATGACCCAAGGCTCATTGGGGTTCCAGCTGAAGTCTGAAATCTTTGTGTCCTGCATGAATAAACAGGAGTTCTGGAGGCCCATCTTCTGATCTTCTGCTGATTGTTCTTCTCCAATTTTACTTAAATCCCACACATTCAGGCGACGATCAGTACCACTTGAAGCCAGAATAGTTTCATTATGTGGAGACCAGTGGACCTGGAAAATTTCATCCTTATGAGATTCGAAAGTATGGAGTTTTAATTTTAAGTTACGCAGGTCCCACAAAACTACAGTCTTACCCGCAGAGCTGGTTGCTAGAATGAATTCGCTGTAGGGATTGAACGAGAGGCAGTTGACCTCGGCGGTGTGTTCATCCACCAAGTGGCTCGGCTTAGAGGTCGTATTGGACATGGTGTCCCGTATCATAAGTTTCTGATCATCAGCAACAGATCCAAATAATGACTCATGCAGCAGATGCCAGGCCACATCCTCTACAACCGCAGAGTGGCCAGTAAAGATTCACAATTTTGCCTTCCTTTGGTCCTGCATTTATATCCCACAGGCAGACAGTATGGTCGTTGAAGGAGTTTTGACATTGTTCTCAAAACATTTTGTGACCACAATCCTGAAGCAAGGGATAAAGATGGAGTACAGAATCAGAATATGGGGTGGGGGTTGGGTGGGTCTGGCTCAGCTGTGAGAATTAGCTAGAAAACAGATGCTGAGTTGGAATCCCAGAGCATCTTGTGAAGTTAGCTCACCTTGCTAGCTCGGAAAGCCGAGGCTGACTTTGACTTCACTCGGAATCAGTATGTCTTCAGTATGTGCTGAAGAGATTTTCCTAGGACTTGGCCTAGAGGCAAGACACTTTCACCTCGTCGATGGTGAGTGGCTCTTGGAGCAGGCTCAACCGGGGTTGGGAAGGTCCTAGAATCAGAAACGGGGCTATTTAGGCTACAATCCAGTTACTCTTCTAATGAAGTCAGTAGACAGAATAAGCTTCCATGATCTCAGAAATAGTGAAGTTTAACACAGTGGGCTATTTTTAGACAACTCTTAGATTAAAAAAAAAACTGCAGAAAAAGTAGCAATAATATTTAAAAATCAAGAAGTTGGGGGTGTAGCTCAGTGGTAGAGCGCGTGCTTCGCATGTACGAGGTCCCTGGTTCAATCCCTGGTACCTCCACTTGGGTTTTTTTATCCCTCTCATTTCCTTCATATTTTCCCCGCTCACAAGAAAAGGAAGTCCTGTAGTGTTCTCTCATTTTTACTTCTTGAAGTTTAACGCATCCCAGGGACGAGCAAAGGTAGACAAGAAGGAAAGGGGATGGGGGTTATAAAAGGAACCGCCCCTGCCAGGATCTCCTACTTCCTAGGCAAGACACCTGCACCCCAACCAACACATTTGCATTGGGTTTTACTTGGCACATCATGGAACATCATATAGAATGACAACGACAGCCTGTAAAGAGAAAAAGAAATGGCTCGTGGAAACTACATTTTAGTTTTCTGAACAATCGGGATGTTCTAGTGTTAATGGAAAAGCCCTTGAATCGAGGGGAGCAGAAGGACTGAAAAGGACCCTTAAGAATTGAGGAATTAGGAGTCATTGACACGTTTTTCTGGAAAACAAAAGAACAGCTTGTCCTTAAACTGATTTGGGACTCTGAGATTCATTGTTTTACCTCGGCCACCTTCCTATTAGGGTCAGCTTGCTCCAAGGTCCTCTCCACATGACCCTCGGCTGGGCATTCCATCGTCAGGGAGATTCTCGGGAACCCGGCATTTTCTTGCGTCTTCTGATTTCCCCATTCCGTCGAATTCCTCTTCCTTTGCTTATAAAATTGCCTAGAAGGTGACAATGATGATGCAGAAAGACTCAAAGAAGGCAAGTTCAATGCAGCCTGGAGAGATTCAGGTCTTTGCAAGAAAATAAGACAAACGGAAAGAATTAATAAAACCTGTCAGGTGATGCAGAGCGACAGTGTGTATCTACTTGCCTAGGAGCCAGGCAGCTGCTTCTCCTTCAACTCCTGCTCCTCCCGCTGAAATAGACGGGTAGAGAGGAAGAGCATGCAAACCGTAGGACACCTACCCTCCTTCAGACAAATCGCGGAAGGAAGAGAGGGCAAGGGAGAAGATATGTGGCCTGACGCACGATTTATTAAACTAACACTTCGCCCCCTTAAGAGCGTCTTAAACCTTCCCTGGTATTGATCGCACATGGTCCACGCTTTTCTCCTTTGCCTCTATTTTGTGTGAAAGTCAACCCAGAAAAGAGTTTTGGATGAAGACTGAAGGCACTGTCAAGACGGGGGCCGATAGCGATTTATATCTTTTAGAAAGCTCCCTAGATCCAAAATCTGGCAGGTGTGGGGAACTCTGGCCTCAGGAATCCGGAATCTGGATGGCGTGGCCAGTAGGGAAGACCTCACTCAGGAGGAGGCGGGTGAACCGGAGGGGAAGGGGAAGCGATGAGCTTTTGAAGAGAGGCATGAGGTGAGGCTGGAGTTGGCAAAGTGGAGAGAAATGAACTTATTATGGATTGTCAAGCACGGTCCATGTGGGGTTTGGATGCGTGAGAATGTGGATCATGTCCAAACTCTGCGTCATTTCTTTTCATTCTCTAGGTATGAAGAAATACTGCACTACCGTGTGGTTTAAGGAAAAACATCTCCCCTCCCACACCCCTAGCTTAAAAGAACATTATTATCCCATGGAAAGAGCCCACTCTTTTTTACGCAAACTCTGTCGGTTTCTGAGAGTATCTTGGAGATGTTTCCACACCTAAAACCTCTTCAGAAAACACCAGTGTTTTCTGGTTTTCAGGTTGGTTTTTTTCTTGAGGTGTTGTAGCAGCTGGTCTCGGTGACTTTCGAAAGACCACAGGGAAGCCAAATGGTTATGGTGAGAGCAGGTTTGGTGAGTGTAGAACTTTTGACTTGAGGATATAAGGTGTGCAAGTGAACGGTAGGGATTTTTGTTACTGATATCGTTGTTGGTGTTTGGTTTTTAGTTTTCTTAACGCGTTGCCTTGGAATGGAAAACAAAATTAACAATAACTGAATGTGTTCACCTTTATATAAATTGTCAGGAAAAAAAACAATCATATAAGAGCCCGGATAGCTCAGTCGGTAGAGCATCAGACTTTTAATCTGAGGGTCCAGGGTTCAAGTCCCTGTTCGGGCGGGAGAATTACCATTTTTCTCCCTGATCCACCTGTCTAAACTCACCTTCCTCTCTTCTGCACCGTTCTGAAGCTCGAGCTGCCAGGTAGGAATATAGATAATCTCAAGAATATTGGAGCTCCTGTTTCATATTTTACTTGGAGTGGTTGTTTGCAAACCATAAAAGGGATGCATCCTCAAAAAATAAAGCCAGTTTTCTTCCTTGTGTAGGTTGTGGTACCATTTACCCATACTGCAGGAAATCAATGCTCTTGTTGATGTACATGTTGATATGCTCTTTTCTTTTTTGCTTTGTGGGCAGAAGGGAGGAGGAGCTTGTGTTTGAACGTGATTAATTTAAACTGTGAACAAATTTGAAATTCAGCCTTGTGAAGGTATTTGGAAGTCAGTCTCACAACCGGAGACTGCAATTCAGCAGGAATATGACTAGGATTCTTATTTATATAGCTTCTGAGGAGAGAGACAGTAACTACAGTGGGAATTGAAAAGGACTTGATGTGATTTGGAGTACATTAATGGTGTCTATGGAAAACCTTACAGTAAACTAGAAAGATCTCTGGATTCATTCTGGATAGCGTTATGTTCCTGGAAAGTGCTCATAAATCCCGGGAAGTGCTTAGATATCCAGGTGAGGTTATTGCTCTTTCTTTTTTTCCTTCCCCTGGGCATTTAAAACTGTTCACCACCTTCATGAAAACCCCACAAAACAGTTTTTGAACTTGGGAGGATCCCATCTGCCTGGCAGAACTTGTCTTCCAGTTGATCCAAAAGGTTCATCAGTGTGCTGCAATATGAGAATAGGAAGCAGAAAAGGGAGAGATCTCACTGAGATAAAGAACTAAGGGGTGTCACTTCCAGATGTGCTGGGCAAGGCACCCATGTTTGGAGGATGGGGGAGACAGAGCTGGCTTGAACTTGGCTCTTGGTCTTGGTGTAGACACAACTAGCATGATGCCCCCTGTTTCTGGTAAATCATTCCTCTGCACTATGACTGGAGCAAGTGGACTCTGGTATGTTCCTGATATGAAGATTGTTTCCTTCTGTTTGTCTCCCGCTATATCTCAAAAATTATTTCAAGAATGATCAGTCTTTCTTTGTACAGCATTATTGAAATATCTATTCAGTGGACTGCTATAGAATTAATTATTAAGTTACAGCATTTTCTGAGGAACCCAACATCTTATTCAGAAGACAAAACATATCCATGCCAAAATACTGCATTCAGAAAGCTCCAAAATATATGAAGCATACATCCAAACCATCTATGTCCTGAGGGAAAACAGAGGCCAATTGGGTGCTGTTTTGGAAAGCATTCCAGAGAAGACTTGTTGAAATATCACTTGAGTGTGTTGAGATATTATTTATACCACTTGTGAAATTATAAAAACTCTTTTACACAGACCTGTTTTATAGATATGGAGAGAGTAATAAAGAATGTTTCAAAGTTGCCCCACGTTACCAACTTTTTAATGGTGTTTTGCTGAAGACTTAATTTACAGGACTGCAAATCTTGATGTATTTTCTCAGAAGATAATAATGGATTTACTCATACACTTACACAATTTAATAGTTCCCTTTTATTTCAGGTCTTGGGCCAGATGTCAAAGCCATAGAATTCAATGAACTAGAGAACATATAATATAATATTATTCATTTTCCCCACAAATTTTACATAAGCCATTCAAACCAGGCCCATTGGAGGCATGCAGAGGTTATTTGTTTAATGTCTCAGCTTTCCATTTAGTATCTCTGACAAGAGAATTTCCACAACTGATGAAGTTAAATCAAGTAGTTAAATGCCAAATTTAAATCATTTTTATAATTTGTAATAAAGGAACCAGAAGAAACAGTGTTCATGAAGGGTCTAGAACCAAGAAGCATTTTAAAGTGGCCATCCTGTACCAGAGTGCTCTCCCTTCTTTTTGCTTGTTCCTGAAATGCTGGATCTTGAACACTTGTTAGGGAGATGCTCTAACACTGAGCTATAATCTCATCCCTTTTCATTTTCTTTATATAGTAAGGAGTGAAAGGATAACTTTGTTATTTGCTTTAACAATTCAATTTTCTCAAGAATTCCTTCTAAAAGAATAATATTTACCAATATTGGAGGAAAAATAAAACATCTGAAATAAAATATCTGACAATTACCATCAACAAGAACTGATAGATAGAGGTAATATGGTTCATCAAGGATACTGTCCCCTAAATCAATGGCCATGATAATGAAAGTTAAGTGGAAAAATCTGAGACCGAAACTATGTTTATCACAAGAAATTATTTATTAACAATTAACTCAAGGTTTACTTTCTTATTCTTATTTAGAAAAATATTCCAAAACCTGTCTCCTACTTATTTACCGTGAATTGATGATAATATATATATATATACATAAAACATTACACATTATAAGTATAAATAAAATTATGTATGCACTCATATATACATACATACATATACACATATCCACCCATTACTTTCCATATACTTTCTATGGACTAGCTAACTTAATTCTAATGATAGCCATGAGTATAGTGAACTCAATAGTGAAATCAGATTTTATTTCACTTTAGAAACTATATTCTCCAGTATTTTATAATCCTACCATTGATGGCAAAAGTCACTTTTTAAAATTGATATTCATTCATGTTTTACACATGTCATCTTAGAAAAATGGCAAGGGCAGAAAATTTCTTTATCATGATAAATTACACACATATAGTTAAAACCATAGTCATCTTTCTTAAAGGAAAGCTTTGCTGAGATAAAGTCAAGACAAGCAACAATAATAAAAGAAAAATTGAAGCACCAATATTGAAATAATATAAGGGCAAAATTGCATATGTTCTGACAATATAGAAGGAAAAAAAAAACATAAAAGAAAGTTTAGGCTCAGTAGTAGAGTATTTGCCTAGCTGGGTTTGATTCTCAGCACCAGAAAAAAAAAAAGTTCACACAAAAACTAAGTAGGACAAACACATACTGATGTATTAGTTATCTA